CTTGAAGGGTTAACTTGCCCAGAACAGTGAAAGAAAAAGCTGCTTCTATGTGAACTTCTGCAGACTGTGGACTTCTGAGCCCCTCCCCTTACAGCTGGGTATAAAACTCTGAAACTCCCTGAACTCGGGGTTCAGGGGGTTGATTGATTACAGCAAAAGCTGTGCCCTCTGCACCTGGCTGCAGCCAAATAAAACGGTTTCCTGCTGTCTTCGGTGCCTTGCCTGTCTGTCCCTACAACAAGGCCTCTCTGTGCTGGCGGGTTGTGTGCCTACCTTGTATGCTCCTGTGTGGCTGAGACCTTTGGGGTCTCTCTGGGGGAGCCCCACCTTCTCCAAGGCCCTTTCCAGGGAGAAGCTGCAGTCTAAGATGAAGGTCACCATGTCCTTCAGCTGCTCCGAGTACTCCCCCAGTGAGATCAGGGAGCCCGTGCAGTCACCGAATTCATATTTCTGGAACTGGGGACAGACTGTCCTGGGGACACAAGGCAAAGCTCATAGGCCCCAGACCCTCCATAAGGTCCTGGGCAATGGATTTTTTAAAAAGGACTGGGGTGAGCAAGGGGACTTCCAGGGTTGAATTTTCGGGCCCACTTTCTTGGTGGCAAGGTCAAGAAAGCGGTTTTCAGCAGAGGCCTTGGTTGGCACCCTTGAATCATGACCAGATTGGAGGCTACTAAATTGGCATGCAATCAAGTAGCCCCCACCACCCCGTTATATTTCCTATAACCCCACCCAAGACCAGCCAAGCCAGCAAGAAAAAACAGTGGTGCTCTCTCTGCCATGGAGGTGGGGCCAGCAGACCACACGGGACAGGGGACGATATCTCCAGGAAGCTTTCAGAACCAGTAGAGTGTGAGTCCTCTTTCCCTCCTTACAGAAACTCTTCTGTAGGATCTATGGTCCTGAGCCTGTTCTCCACTCACTCCCAAATCATCACGCTGTTGTTCCTTGCTAGACAATGCTGGGTGACAGAGCTGTAGCAATAGACAGGACACCATCCCAGTCCCTAAGTAGCTCCTGATCCTACGCTGGTCGGTGAGAATGCATTGGAAACAGATGCTTGCAAAACAGAGCAGAAGTGGTAACAGGTCAGGCAGAGGAGTGACTCAGGGAAGGGAGAAACCCACTCTTTCTTATTATAATAGTTTGGAACTGGATTGTCCCCCAAAATCCATGCATTGAAGACTTGGTTGCCAGCCTGTGTTCTATTGGGACATAGAGGAATCTTTAGGATATGTGGCCCAGTGGAAGGAACTCAGGTCATTGAAAAGGATATTTACCCCCTTCCCCTGCCCCCTGCTTCCAGGCACCGTGAGGTGAGCAGCTCTGCCCCAACATGCACCCTCTGCCACCATGTTCTGCCTCACCACAGGCTCAAAAGCAACAGCACCAGTCATGGTCTGAAACCACAAGTCCACATAAGCCTTTCCTCCTTGTAAGTTGTTTATGTCAGGCATTTTGTTACAGTAAAGGAAAGCCAACCATGTAACCATGAAGGAGTTGGTGCTGGGTGTTTAGGCATAAATAGGAATTTTCCAGTCACACAGGAGGAAAGCACATCGAGGCAGAGGGAACAGGATGTGGAAAGTGTGGGGGCATCCAGCACTATGGTCCACTGGGGGCTCTGCTCCAGGAGTCTCTGAGTTGGTGGTACAGCAGGAATCAGGGGAGCAACCTCAAGGATCAACCTCAGCCCCCTGGAGTCTCCATCCCTGGAGTTCACAAAAGATAATGACAGGAAGTCCCTGGGGTGCTGTCTGTCTGAAGAGAGGGTTGGGGATGACTAGAGTATCTGGGTCAGAGCAGGTCAGCTGGGTCCTGAGATTGTGCAGGCCACAGGAAGGCTTTGAAGAACTTCAAACAGGAAAGTCATGTGACCAGATTTAGATTAAGAAAAAGTGAGAGTAGAAGATGGGAAGGGGAGGAGAAGGTGAGGCGAGGGCAAGGAAGGCAGTTACAAAGTCTGTTGGTCTAGGCGAGGGAAGGTGTGAGCCACATTTAGCCAGGTGGGGGATGAGGACTCACTGGAGAGGAATTATGGAAGTAGAATCCCCAGGGCCATTTATGAGACGTGTTATAAGTAGCCAGTACTAAGCTGTATGTATGCGGTTTTTTCTTAAATATCTACTCTGTGTTAGTCAGCTTTCAGTCACTGTGACAAAATACCTAAGAGAATCAACTTACAAAGATGAAGATCTATACTGGTTCATGGTGTCAGAGGTGTCAGCTCTTGGTGGCTTGTCCCCCTTACTGTGGGCCTGCAGTGAGGCAGGACATCATGGAGGAGAGCACATGACAGAGCAGAGCTGCTCACCTCATGGTGGCAAGGAAGCAAAAAGAGTTCTTGCTTTTCTAACAAACCCCTTCTCCCAAAACCCATTCCAGTATGGGCTCATCTACCGATGGATTAATCCACTGATGAGGTCAGAGCTCTCATGATCCAATCGTACCCCAACAGCCCCACTTCTAAACACTGCTGTACCGAGGACCAAGCCTTCAATACAAGAGATTTGGGGGACCTTTAGTTTCAAACCATAACACACCCCTAGGATAAGGTTTCATTTATCAATTAGGCACAGTAAGAGATTAGCAATAATAACTAATAATAAAATAGAACAGTTATAACAATCAGCTGTGTTTGGTTTGAATTTGAAATGCTCCCCCAAAAGCTCCTAGTTATCACTGCTGTGCTGTTCAGTGGTGAGAAGACTGGATTGTGGGAGCTCAGACCTCATCAGAGGATCAATTTGTTCAATGGATTAATAATTTGAATGGACTCCTGGGTGGTACCTAGAGGCAGGTGGGGCACGGTTAGAGGAAGAAGGTCACTGGAGCGTGGGCTCAGGGACTCTATCTGTCTCTGGCTGCTTCCTCTCTCTCTCTCTATCTCTCTCTCTCTCTGCCTCTCTCTGCTTCCTGGCTGCCATGAGCTGACCAGCTTTCCTCTGTCCTTCCGCCATGATGTTTCGGCCTTGGAGCCAGCCAAGCATGGACTGTCTCTGAAACTCAGAGCCCAAATAAATCTTTCCTTAAGTTGTTCTTGACAGGTATCTTGGTCGTCACTATGAAAAGCTGACTAACTCACACGGTTAATGACAGTCGCTTTAAACTTTGAATTGTTTATTTCTGGAATTCTCCACCTCGTATCTTAGGCCCCAGTTGACTGTGGACAACAGAGGCCGTGGACACGGAGTCCCTGGATGAGGGAGGACTGCTGTAGTTGAAACGTCCGGGTGAATCACACAAGGCGGGTGATGTGGGCCGCTGGAGGTTAGTGACCGAGGTGTGCTCCTTTTCTTCTTAGCCCTGCCCAGGCAGCTTTCTGGAGTGGCTGATGAAGTGACAGATGGCAGTGCCCAAGGGATCTCTCCTGGCCTGGACTTTCTTAGAAATCCCAAAATTTCACCCTGATGTAGAGGCAAGGGATAGGGTCAAGAGATAGGGGAAAAGTGGGAACAGTAGGGAGGGCAGCTCAGTCTGGGCAACAGTCATGAGCGAGGCCCTGTGCCAGGCACTGTGGGGTCCTCAGGGCTGGACAGAGGGCTGTTGTGGCCACTCCCAAGCTTTGACTCCAGGAACCTGATGCCTGGGACAGCACCCAGGGTGAGCCACATCCACTTCTCTGGCTCACCACACTCCTTTGGCCTTTCTTGGACTTCATGCAGTGAAACCACACACTAGGTGCGTCCTGAGTCTAACTTCTTTCACTCCACATTACACCTGGGACGATCTGAATATCATTGTGTTAAAGCTGCCCTTACTGATGAGCATATGTATGTAATTCGGGCCTGTTGCTAATGGACATTTGAGGAGTTTCCAGGTTGGGGGTGCTAGACACTGTGCCCCCGTGAACATTTTAGCATATGCATTTGGGGGTACGTGTGTGCGCGGCTGTTTGGCAGGTACCTGGGTTTGTGGGACAGATGTAGTCACCTTCTCACGGTGGCCGTGGCCATCTGCTGCCAAAGGCGTGGTGGTCCCAGTCCTTGGCATTGCCTGCCTTCCTGCCTTCCATGTTTGCCATTCTGGTGGCTGCGGAGTGGCGCCACCCTGTGGTTGTCACATGTATTGCCTTGGTGCCTTTTCACCTGTGGCATCGGCCATTGGTAGATCCTTTGGGGAAGGAATCTGTTGGGTCTTGTGTGGGATAACCACCTGCCGAAAGGCCAAGGAAGCGGCCGTGCTCTTCAGGACTATGAAAATGACCCGGAGCAACGCGGGAGGGGTGACAGTCAGCTCAGAGTCTCCCTATCCTACCCGCTGCTTCTTCCCTCCCCAGCCTGTTGTGAGGATAAATTGGATTTTTAATACAACAAATCAGGGAGGCTTTAGATGCACAAAGCTTCTTTGTTCCCTTTTAATTAAATGTACTTCGGGGGTACTATGTTTAGGTTTTGTGTTTTTTTCCCCCTGCTGGAGATGAATAGAAAAGTCCCCAGTTGTCCCCCTTAGTGACAAGTCGTGGAACAGAGGCCTCACTGTTTGGTGAGTGCTCTTTCCTGCCTGGTGTGATCCCTGCAACCCGGGTCTCCCAGGCTCCACCTGACTTTGTCTTTGAGGAGATAAATGAAGTGATTTCTCTGAGTCTTTTACCTAAAAATCAATATTTTAAAACATAATAAGAGTGACGGAGAGGAACTCATCTTTACATCCTCGTCTGATTTAAAGCCCCAGGGAGAAGTCCAGGCTGCCATTTTCCAGCCATTGGGTACGGTGAGCTTCTCTGGCCCGTCAGGATTTCCCAACAGGTGACGTGGACAGAGTGCCCCACTTACCTTAGCTCAGGCAGATCTCCCTCCCGAAGGTGACATGGGGGATTCTATTGCTACCTTCATTTTGGAAGAGGAGGCTTGGAGAGGTCACACACTTCCCCCACATCTCCTCGACTAGTAGGGGCAAAGCTGGGGTCCACACCACAATGTCTGATCTGGGGGGTCTAAGGCCCAGCTCTTCCACCCTAGTGCACCCTGAAGCCCCTGCAAGCTGGTTTAAGCTAGGGTTTGTTGATCGCATAAATGACTATGGCTCTCTGTAAATGACGCTTCCCAGCTCTTTTGCAGTGGACCCTGGCCTTGGCCATGAGATTTGCTTTAGGGAACAGGATGTGAGTCAGTGATTGCGAGGGGTTGACGTATGCGAGGACATTAGGGCTCACCTTCACGGAGTACTGTCTCTTGGAGTCCTCAGCTACTGCGGAGAGAAGTTTGGCCACTCTTGTTGGAGAGGCTTCATAGCCAGAAGCTGGCTGTTCCAGCCATCCCAGTGGACACCAGACATGTAAGGGAGAAGCCATTAGGCTGGTCCATCTCCAGCAGATACAGTATGGACAGAGGGATCCCTCCACCAACCCAGCCTTGGTTGCAGAGTTGTGGGAATTATGGTTTTAAGCCACGATGCTTTGGGGTGCTTTGTTAGGCAATAACACATAACCGTTAGCCCACAAACAGAAACAAAGGCCAAACATGTTGATAA